AATTGATGTCATATTGTGTAATGATTATCACTTAACATTCAATGTTCCCTTAAGTTTAACTTGTGAATTCTACTTCCTGGATATTGTTCAAATACGTTCACTTAGTGTTTAGTGTGTGTACTTCTGTATTTGTGTATGTGTGTGTGTGCGTATGGGAGCATACAAACCATATTTATCTTACTATAATATTCTTAAATAGAAAAAATATTAAATTTTTTTTATTGGAATATCTAAATGTTATGCAATCAATTTTCAATTCTCTTGTTACTTGTCAATGTAACAAAAAAAAGAATTACATTGTCAAATCATTGAATTACAATCGCTTTCAGTAATCATTTCATCATTTAAATGATACATTTATTTAAAAATAATCCACTTCCTCTTTTAGTCACACACACACATACACACGCATACACACATAAATATGTATACATACGAAAGTTCTACCAAACACTTCCACTTTTCATTGACAATGAAAGTTTGTCAATTGTGTACCTCCTTTTTTTTCTTCTAAAGATGGTCAGTGAGTAAAATAGTCCCGTCAAGGAGATATATATATATATATATATATATATATATATATACATATTTGTCCAGTAAATACACTTAGAAGTAACTTGACAACAATAGTGTAAATAATAAAATAATTTAAACTTCACCCCATCGTACAAGAAAGTGGCTATCAGGACTCAGTGGTCGAGTGGATAACGCGATGGCGTTTGAAGCGAGGGTACTGGGTTCGAGTCCCAGAGTGAACATCAACTCTGAGACGCAGGTGCATCCAGCTGACGAGTCCCAAATAGGACGAAACGCGCGTCCTGGATTCCACTGCTAGTCACTATCCATCTCTGCTAACCATGCTTGTGAATTAAGGTATATCGAGGCAATACGCACAGTATGCACATATGCCAATTAGAGACTGACCAGTTGCAGTCCTAACAAATCGATGGGAAGATTCAAACAAACAATACTAAGTTGAATATAAACCACTAAGTAATTAAATTAATGAATAATGATAATGAATAAAGGAGTTAGTTTTACTAAAATTAATGAATTTCAACTGCAATCATTAATTATTATTATTATTATTGATTTGTAATTATAACCAGTCCTAAACGTCCTACGATTACACCACCCTTTATGAATGAATAGTATTACTATTATTGTTATGACGACTGTCATTAATAATTTAGTGTCAGACAATAAATTACACATTTATTATCATTTAAATAGTTTAATACCAAAAAAATGACTAGTTGATATAAGTATTATTGATAATTTATTGGTTAGTAGTATATAATTGAAATTAGGAAAAATACTTAATATTACTAATAGTAGTGTGGTGTGGTGTACTTATATCCATCTAAGTAGTATATGGTGTTGGTCAAACATAGAATGTATTTTGGCAGAAAACCGATGAGGAAAGAACTGAAATTAAGCGCAATCGGTAGGAAAATGTATGAACAATGGAATTATAGAAGAAACAATGAAGATTGAGACAATCTGGTTGTTATTTTGTAAATCAGCTGTTCATTGTATGGTTATCAGAATTTACTGAGATAGTCTGTAATTTTTGCTTAAATACATTCGATTGTCCCCAATCAGTGTTCTATTCACTACAGTAGTAGTGTTTAAGATGAGGAAATAGTATTTTGTAGAATAGATAGTTTGTATTTAATAGTAGAATTCAAGAAGCGTGTTTCACCTTAATTTGAACTCGTTCGTTCGATGCACCTACATTGTTGAAGTGCTTATGTTCACTTTGGGAGTGTGACCACACACACGCACACCTTATTGAGGACTATATCACTCAAAGTCTCTAATAACAAATTATAATTAATGTTTGTTTGTTTATTTTATCGAGGAGGATACATCTATTCTAATATAGCTCAAACCAATAGTCAATGAATTCACAAACTAACTCAGTGTAACATTGTCACAAGTCTCGTTAGTCAGCTGTAAATATATGTACTCATCAGCCTAAGCTGACATTATCATATAAGCACAGAGCGACGAGAATGTCATTGCAATAGTAGTAGTGTGGTGTATGCTGATTACATCGACAAACATAAGTAGTATATAACACCAATCGGAAGTGGAAAACCTGGCAGCAGAAAGCCATGAAGGTCGACTTACAGAAAATGGAAACGGAACTAGAAAGGAATTGTGAACTTGGAGAATCATACAAGATGTGAAGGAAGAATAGTGAAAACTTTGAAATGAAGTATTCAATGTATGTATTCAATGTAATTTATACAAATCAATTTATAAAAACATTTTCATCTGAAATAATCCCGATTTCAATGTGTTTATTAGTTCCATGGAGAAGTGTGAACCAATTCGCTAAGCGAAACATTGAAATTATTTGAATTTCAAATTACATTTAATATCTTATACATATTTTAATAGTTGAGATCATGAATCAATTGAAGCTAGAACATCATGGAAAACCTGGAAGCACTGGACCGCCGCTTCATCCTATTTTGGGATTCCTCAGCAGTGCGCATCCACGATCCCGCCTCAAGAGATTCGAACCCAGGACCTATCATTTTCACGCACGACCGCTTAACCACTAAACCACTGAACTGGCCGGTATCCAACGATGTTAATGTCTAACTTCAACCGATCTTATACATACTTTAAAAGAATTATCATATCAATCTATGCGCCAATAGGAATTAAAGGGACGCGATCATGAAATATTACTTATCCGTTCCTATTCTACGTGGTCTCACTATTAATAATGTAGAAGTAAACATTTACTTTTTTGAAGATCTCTGCAATTTACAAACGAGACCTCTTTATTTACAAAACTGCCCATCAAAATATTTTACTATTTTTAAACACAGTGGTTAATGATTAACTTAGAGATAAATTATACGTATATATATATGGTGGAGTTAAAGCGGAAATTAGAATTTAGACAGTTTCTGTCATATACTACTTATCATATATAAATAATATTTTAATTAATGTCTGCATATCTTCAAAGTTCCATATTTTTTTTTAATTAAAAAAAATAACGACATTCAATTCAAACGATGAATTTATCAAATGTAACTAATGAATGAATAATGATTATAAATAATAATTTATATTTAATGGTTAAAATCTAAATTGATCAGCGAAGCTGGATATGACAATAGTGTTGGAAAGCTTAGAAACTTCGAGATTACTTAGTATAATAATAATGCTTTCTACCAAAATTTCCATGGATATAATACTCAACTTTTTTATAGTGTTTAGGCTTAGGAAGTATGTTTGTAGAATTAATCGAAATGGTATATACATTTGGTTATGGATACATCAATTGCTTCTAAGTCGTGATAAACCATATTTACTCGGATATTTATAACAGGCTAGTTATATATCTTCTGTATATACATCCGTGTTTTACGCCTACTGATCTATATATGGATCTTGAAAACATTTGTATCACAAGCATGAACTGAACTCAAATGCATTCTTCTCATCTAAAACAGAGGCAAAAATCATGGCACTAGCGGATCTTTTTCCAAAAAAACCTGAGATACTATTACTGCATCATTCACAATGAAAGATGTTTTACTTTAGATAAATATATTGGTAGAAAATGATGAATACTACAAGTCGTATCTCAACCATTCATTTATGAAATAGATGTTTGTATAATCGATTTCAAATTACACTTTATGTGTGATAGTTAATGAACCTATCTAACAAAACAAATGAATGTAATTGAAATCGGAGTTTACGTATTTGACCCTTTTTAAGCAAAAATGGATAGTGGTTAGCAGTGAAATCCATCATGCATGTCACGTCCTATTTGGAACTCGTCATTGGATGAACGTGCATCTAAGACTTGATGTTCACTCTGGGACTTCAACCCAGTACCGTTCGTTCAAAACATCATTGCTTTATCCACTTAGCTACTGAGTTCTGACAGTCACTTGCTTATGCAATGCGGTGAAGTTTAAAATTACTTGGTATTGTTTGCTTTTATCTTCCCATTGTTTTTTAATACTGTAATTGATCAGTCTCTTGTTGACATATGTCAGTCAGTCACAACGTAGAACTTTGTACGTACGCACACCAGTTCGAGTTGCTATACCACATTAACACAGTGATGTACTTGTTGATTCAAATCTCATAGTGGTAGAAGTAGTAAGAGTATAAGCAGTAATCAGAAAGATTAAGGTCTACATCTCTAGGATCGTCTTTTTTTCTCACGAAATAATTAAGATTTATTGTCAGTGTAACGATGTCACTGTTTATCCAAAGTTGATTTTTTTTAATAGTAAAAATAGAAAGGAAAATGTTAACCTTTACACCCAAGACGATTTATTTATAGAAGGACCATATGAAAATTATGTGTACAAAATGAAAAGTTTGTTTTGAAATAATTTTGACCCAATAGAACTACATTATTCAAATATTTTAGGTGATTTAAACAGAAATTTCAGTCTATTGGCATTGTGACTACTAATGGAATTTAGGTTGCATGTTTAAACTCTGTTTCCAACCATTCAACTGATTACACTTACATTCTGGTATGTTGATATTTACTCACATCCATTGTTGATTGGATTGATATAAACAAAAATCCTTTTTCTCTAAAAAATAACTATCAGTATGGAATTGATTGAAGTTAGACTTGTACATCATTGGTTCCTGGATCAGTGGTCATGTAGTTAAGAATTAGTGCATGAGACCAAAGGGTTTGGCTCTAGTTAACTTTTTTTGGAGCCATAAATGTGCACTTCTGAAGAGTCCTACACTAGAAGAAAACAGTCATCAAGTGCTTCCCAGTTGTCAACAGTTTACTTAGATCGCTTTATGTTATGCAAAAGTAACATTTATCATGTACTGACAAGTTTACAAACTACCTCTTATTTATTTATATGTAAAGGGAGAATGACAAAAATAATCATCCATTACAATTTAATGTAATGATAACCTTTTGTTTTTCAAACTGAAAGAATTCAATTTTCAATTTTTCAAAAAATTTTTTTTTGACTTACTTGTCTACTAACAAGAACACCAACAGTAAATAAACCAGCTGTCAACCATGCTACCACATGTTCTCTAGCTAAACAAGCTGAAACTTGATCAGATTTTGATGTGAACACCATACTATATTTCTGTTGTTGACAATAATCATGATTATTATGATTTATGGTTGTTGACCAACTACTATTATCTCGTTTTATACCATTAGTTATTGTATGATTTAATGTATTTTGAAAATTTGGTTGATACTGTTTTTGTTGTACATTTATAGGTATTGTATTTACTGTTGGATTGTTTGGATTATTATTATTATTATTATTATTATTATTAGTAGTAGTAGTTTGATGCTTTTTTGTTGAAGGTTGCATCAATCTTTCATTCATAATAATTTCTGATTGATTCCAATTGAATGAATTTTCTGTACAGAAACAAAATGAATTAATTGGTAAACAATAACAATTTGATTCAGTATTGATTTCATCTTCATTATTGAATTGTTTATTATCATGACTACAAGTATTACGTAATTTTGGTGAATGAGTATTACAACAATAAGAATTAATATATGATGTAATCATACTAATTCTTTGTAATGACCAATGTATAACAAGCATTGTCCACCATATATAACTAGCTATAGAAAAAAAATATTGTATTATAAATATAAATACACATAAACCATTATCTAAACCTTCTTGTAAACGAATTCTTTGACCAGAATCTAAATCTTGTCCACATGTTATATTAGTTCTACCTAGAATTAAACTTAAACCAAAACCTAATGCATAAAATAATTGACATAATGCAATATAAATAATTGGTTTTTCATTGAAACGAAAATGGGATAAATTCATTACATAACGTATTAATGTATAGATTGTCATTAAACTACATATACATGCTAATATACTAGTCCACATAATTGATAATTGTTTAGCTTCTGTTGTATATAGTATATTTGAATCACATAATGGTGCACATCGTCCAGTACGATTAATATAGATATAAAATATTGATTTTTTAAAATGGGAACAATAACGTATTGATTGAGCTAATTGGGGTAATGATAATGGATATTTATTAAAATGTGATGTAATCAATGTATTAGGTAGAAATGGTTTAGTTGTTAAAAATTCACCGGTTAATTTCTCCATAATTTGATTTAATTCTAATTGTTCTTCATCATTATCATCATCATTATCTTTTGTTCCTTTGATTGGTACTTGTTTCATTTGATTGTTGGGGATTTTGTCATTGTCTAAAGTGATGACTTGTAACATTTGTTTAACAGATGGATCTAATGATAAATCTTTATGATTTGGTTTATTGACTTTGTCTTTTAATTCTAGATTATTAATATTATTACTATCACTACTACTACTACTAATACTACTAATGATGGCACTTTTCGATGAATTGATATCTTCTTCTAAATCTTCTGGACCTTCCATACACATTGCACCACCAACACTATTTTTCAAAGGGAATTGTGAACAATTCAAATTTTCTGGCCAATTAAAATCAAATACTCTAAGAACTGGTGCACATCTAGCACGTACATGTTCACATAATGGACGACATGGTCCAATTAAATAATGTGTATTTACATCACACATTGGTGTATAAATAGAACATAAGAAAAAATTTAATTTTGATGAACATTTATAAGTAATTAATGGTTTAAATGTTTGTAATTGATGTCTTGCATCAAATTGTGTCTCTTGTCCAATTAAATTTGGCATACCAGTATAATTATAAAAAGTATTTTGACATTCTGGTATTTGTATTGGTACCGGTTTCATACAACGTTGTTGACCATATGTTGTTGATGTTGATGTAGGACTAGTGTAAATTAATTTGAAGCATAAACTATGTAGAAGTAATATAATTAACATGATATATAATAATTTACAATATTCTTGTTCAAAGAAGGATATACATTAGAATATAACTTTATGGAAATCCATCCATCCATCAATTCATTCATTCATATATCTACATATGAGATCATCATTTGATAAACGTTAATTTGATCCGATCAAATCCAGTCTATAAAAGACCGCAAAAAGAGAAAAAAACAACTAAATTATTTCTCTTATTAATAATAAATATGTTTGTATAGTGACAAAAATCAGAATTGTTTACAAAATATTTGATTTATTTATTTATTTATTATCATGATTTCAGTAGACACCATTGTATTGTGTGTGTGTGTATATGTGTATATTGTGTTGTGTTGTGCCTCTGTATTCTATTCAATCATATATGATTGGCAGCTTGATAAAGATTAATGGAGATTGGATAAAAAGTTAACCTCATCGTTGATTGGTTCATTAAAATCATGTGACTACAATAAATAAATAAATATATACCTGAGACAACCAATCAAAATGTGACAAAATAAATAACTATAGTTGATTAATTCATTTAGTATTGTTTGTTTGGATCTTCCCATCGATGTTGATTAAAGTACATGGAAAATTAGTTTTTTTTTTCAAAAAAACAACAACAGAAAACAGGTAAAGATTTGTAATTTATGACAATATTCAATATAAATCACTGATTTATATTGATGTTTATTAAGGGTTGTGAAATAAAAAAGTGAATACTAGACTGTATACAATAATAATAAAAATGCTATATAGTTGAAATCATGAGTCAATTGAAGCTAGACCACGACGAAAAACCTGGAAGAACTGGACGGCCGTTTCGTTCTATTGTGGGACTCCTCAACAGTGCGCATCCACTATATCATTTCACTGAAGATATTGGTGAATGGTTGCTCAATTTCGTGGATTGGTTGAAGTCAGACATTAACACCGTTGGATGCCGATTGGCTCAGTGGTCTATTGGTTAAAAGCCTTGGTACGAGACTGCTAGGTCGTGGGTTCGAATCTCACGAGGCGGGATCGTGGATGCGCACTGCTGAGGTGTCCCGCACTAGGACAAAACGGCCGTCCAGTGCTTCGAAGTTTTCCGTCGTGGTCTAGCTTCAATGGACTCATGATCTCAACTATATAAAGTTACTAAAATCTCCTCAAGACCCCCTTCTAATAATAATAAAAATAATAGAAAGAAATAAAGAAAATAATAACAAAAAACAGTATGGGACTGTGAAAACTGTTGAATTTTATCGAGATCATGGACCGATTTAGGTTAGATAATCACTGATGACTAAAAGCACTGGTGAGCTGTTTCGTTTTATTATTGAACTCCTCAGAAGTGTAAATCCGCGATCCTGCAGCTGGGGATCGAATGGAGGACCTTCGGTCTCTTATATGAACACTAAACCTTTAAACCATTGAGCTGGGTTCCAGGTGTAATCTCAACCAATCAGGGATACTGAGCGAGCATATTCAATTGCTTTCTTGTTAGATACTTTCCTTACACTCGGCGCGACCGAAATATAATAGTCTTGCCTTTTCACTAGGATAATTATTCAGTTTAAAAGAAATGAAACATATAGGTTTATTGCAATATTTGTAAACTTGAGAAAGAGGGGCACAATTATTTAGGTGGATCACCTTCAATTTATCTCCATATTGCAAAATAATAACTCAGCCCATATACCGTTTTAATTTTGTAAAATATGATTTATATAAACTTGTGTGAACTTGGTATTCGAAATGTACACATCAATTCATATCATCCAAGAATTTATTATCTTAATCACTTTTCATAACACTGTTGTCATCACCTTAACAATTCTCGTTTTAGATATTGTATCAATTTGTAAACAATAAATTTCCACTTACTAACAAAATAATCTTTTTATTTTTTTGCTGGGTTTTCGTTTTGTGATGTGGTCGGTTAAATCGAAAGGCTTTCATTGTTTTTCAAATAGAAATCTATCTCATTTAAAGTTTGCGTCGATGATGTTGTCCACAAAAATTATGAAGATTTCACGATTAAATTAATCAGTTCAGTGAATGAAACTTAAAATCATCCACTTGAGTTATAAATCTTCCCCAGTATCTTATAGATCACTTTCATGGAGTTCTAATAAATAGACCAGAGAACAGTTGAGTTTATACAACAAACGATGATACCAAGTTAGCGATTCAAGATAAAAATCACTAGACTTGATTTACTTATCAACCTAGTGATTTCAGTCTTAATTTGATCGGCTCCTTTCCCCTATTTCACAAATAATTAACCTAAGAGAAAAACGCCTATTTTATTGATCAGTTGTCTTTTTTTCTTTCCATTTATCTATCTTTGAATCCTACAAAATACAGAAGTAATAGGTATCCGAACTACAAAATACAACCGAAGATTTGTGTATTGACGAAACATTTTAGTTTGACCAACTTCAAGAATAATAATTTAACAGTTATCTTAATTATAAGATGATATAATGTGACTGGTTTATCTACAGGAGACCTTTTTCTTTGTGTATTCATAATTTAAGTTTATCTTACTCAAATATTATTTGATGGCCGTTTCGTCCTATTGTGGGCACCTCAGCAGTGCGCATCCTCGATCCCGACTCGCGAGATTCGAAACCAGGGTCTTTCAGTCTCTCGCGTAAGCACTTAACCACTAGACCACTGAGCCGGTATCCAACAGTGTTAATGTCTAACTTAAATTTCCAGGTTTTCCAAGGTGGTCTAGCTTCAATCGTCTAATGATTTCAACTATGAAATTACTGAAACCTTCACAAAAGCCCCTTCAAATATTATTGTTATCATAATTAATCTTGTAATTATTTGAGAAATTGATTCCTATCCTACTGTTTGTTGTTTTATCTGTGACGTATGCTATTTATATTTGTCGTCACAAGTAGTATATAACACTAATCAGAAGTGGAATGACTAGAAACAGAAGGTTGAGAAGATCAAATTGAAAAGAACGGTAATATAAAAAGAGACTAATTGCAATAACAATGAAAGAAATGATGTTATTTGTTTCTTTCTTTATTTGTCTAGATTTATTTTAATTATGATACTCATTAGATATAAATTTAACGTTACATTTCATATCATTTAAACATTAGTAATTTTATTCTATTGTACTAGAAAATTTAAAATTATTTGCACAAGCAATTGGCTATCAGGACTCAGTAGCTGAGTGGATAACGTGATGGCGTTTGAAGCGAATAGTACTGGGTTTGAGTCCCAGAGTGAACATCAACTCTGAGATGGAGATACATCCGGCTGACGAGTCCCAAATAGGATGAAACGCGCGTCCTGGATTCTACTGCTAGCCATTACCCATCTTTGCTTATTTGCTGTAATTTTGATAAAATTTGTTTATCCTCTTTGTAACATTAATCCGAATTTATAACCAGTGAAAATGGACGAGAGTATATTAAAAGCAGACAAGGATAACAATAATAAGAATAATAATGCGAAAACAATTTGAAACTTAATCATTCTGTATAAAAAGCTAATGTTACTAGGGTAGGTTTAAGGTGAGAACAAACTGTTTTTGAATACACAAAGGGGGTTTGAATTTTCGTATGATTCAGGCTTCAATAAACCTTAGTATACACCCCTCTACACTTTTGTACAACACCACAAAAGCCGAGTTAATATTAATCTTTAGGGCTGTCAAGACATTTAATTATTTGTTGCCATACTAAATAGTTTTAAATTCAAATAAAAAAAACTTTATTGATTGACAGGATTTTCTCTACATTTTAAAGAAATGAAATGAGAGTACACTTGTAATTCACACACTCAGTGTTATCCTACATGAAAGAAATAGTTGTAACAGCTGAACTGATAGGAAATTTTTCACATAAATCATAAATGGCAGACACTAACTTTTTAGAAAATATTTAAAAAATGTTTTTTGTTTGTTTGAATAATGACAATTTTTAATGTTCGATGGACATAAATTTGTTGAAATATTCCATCTGTGATTAGGGTGAACCATAACAAAATTCATGGTATCAAACTGTTGGGTCGGCTTCAAGAAGCAAGCCTCTAGAAGCTCTAAAGAAGCCGAAGAGATTCCATCCAATCAGAATCTGACAGAGCATTCTAGAATATCATGGTGGCATGCTACGATTAGACAATAACATAACTTGCCTATTTTTGGATTGGCTGATGTTATAGCTAATGCTAATCATTATAAATACGCATATTTTTTTCTGCACATTTTTTATTCATGTATAATAATCACTTACCCTGCTTCTTCCGTCTTCTGATTTGCGACTGTGAAGTTCTACACGTTCGAGTGCTGTTATTTGTATATCGTTTTCGACCATAATTAAGTAGAGGACATAATACAAATATAACTGTTATTGTTTCTAGTCGGCCACATCGTACCACTGTTAATCATCTACCAACTAATATTCAGTTAATCAATTTAACTGTCCGAAATGTTCTTATTATCAGTAAACTTAAAAATATGCACCAAATCACTAACATATAGCTATGAGTAAAATATGAATTGAAGTTCTGTTGTGAAACCCTTAATGACAATTGAAATAATTTAATCTATATGAGGTCGAACCTATCAAAGACAAGTTACAACATTGTTATCTTGATTAAACCATAAATCCCATATCCTTGAGAAGCCAAATTTGTAATTGCATATGAATAACCCTGTGTTTTTCAAAATCTTTTATTTTGCTCAAACGAAAATGATGAAAACAGTAACGAAAGAAAGAAATTTCTGAATCCACAAAACACCACGTAAAATAATGATAGTACATGATTTAATATAGAACTTGTCTACTTATAAGTAGACATATTGTTTACAGCAAATTTATCTGGAGTTTTAGATACGTAGTGTATGATTGATGATAGATGATTGAAAATAGTCAACACGATATTTAGCTCGACCTAGGTTTTATACTAACTCCGCCTGTAGCTCTTCTAGAGTTACTGCCGGTCCCAAGCCCGGGTAAAGGAGGAGGATTGGACATGGGGTTAGCGACCCCATCCCGTAGAAAAGCTAACTCGCTAAAAAAACGCTAACCAGAAAAAATAATTCAAACCATTTAAACTCTGCCCTCCAAGTTGGAGGAATAATTATGACGTTTCATGATGAAAGCCGAAATTCTTCGGAAGTCACGAGACCGATGCACCTTCTAACAACCAGAGCAACACTCTTTATAGGTACATGGAACGTCCGGACAATGTGGGAAACAGGAAAGACCAGCCAAATAGCAATGGACATGA